TTCTTCTACCATCCATCACTGCCTAACTTATCATCTCTTAGAGGAAACCATAAGAATAATATTAAGGGGCCTCCCTGGTGGCGCAATGGTTGAGAGTCCGCCTGCCGATGCAGGGGATACGGGTTCGTGCCCCGGTCCGGGAGGATCCCACATGCCGCGGAGCGGCTGGGCCCGTGAGCCATGGCCGCTGAGCTTGCGCGTCCGGCAACGGGAAAGGCCACGACAGTGAGAGGCCCACATATGGCAAAAAAAAAAAAAAAAAAAAGAATAATATTAAGGCTTTTTTTGGATTCACTGAACTGTTTATTAACCGAGCTGTTTAATCTAAGTGTACTTCATGGGCTTTTTTAAAGGCTTTATGCAAGTCTGTACGTCATAGCACTAACTGGAGGGAAAGATTGGTCTTGATTAGTGAGATTAGAATTATGTACAGTAAAACAAGGCAGTGTCCTAGTTTATGTGTACCACTTTATTTTTAATATAGTTAAATAACTTTTTTAAGTTATTAGATACATGTCTGGTCATAACATCCTTCTTTGCTTGAGGGTACGTGCTAGTCCTAAGTGTGGCTTTGGGAAACGGCTGCACTGTTAGTTGCTTATTAGGTGATATAATACAAAAAGGGTACTGGTGATTGTTAGGTGGTGAGCTGGTGACTTTTTTTAAGAATTACTTTTCTAACCTTATGTGATGTTAGAATATACTTTTTAAAAATATCACTTCTACTAAAGTTATGTATTCAGCAAATGCTCTCTGATGTTTAAGTTGGCAGTGAAAATTTAATTTTGTAATTAATACCTTACCTGCTTTCAAGAAAGGATTTAAAGTGTTTCATGATAGTCACAGGTACAAAAAGTTTAAGTAGATACATCAGAAGCCTGTTAGAACAAAGGACTATAGTAATTGTGCCAAGAATTTGGCATAAAGTGATTACTGAAGTTGATTTAGTGTTACTTTAACTGTATCCCTTGGCTTCCCGGCAGCCAAAGGGATAAAGGCATATGCAAGGGATTATGTAGTTTTCATTTTCATAAAACTCTTTAGATACTTCCAGGCACAAAATTCTATGAATTTTATGGGTGGGATCCTTAAATAGTGATACCGAGTAACATAATGAACAATGTAAGCAATTTTGTGAATATTTTTTTATATTGACTTTGGTAGTTGAGGCATTTGTAAAAAGAGATAAGCCACCATGGTCTTAAATATGCTGTTTTCTGGTCTTACTTGATAATAAAACAGCTTTAGAGTAGATTAGCCCATCCCTTATACTGTCTTGGATCAATTATCAAACTGCTCTTCCCTGGCTCCTAATCAAACAGTCTGACTGGTGAGTGAATGTCTGGAGCACAGATGATATTCTGTGTTCTTGACTGGAACAGGAGCCATAGGTTTCCCACGCCAGGTGTAGAGGACACGATTGGCGTTTCATTGGCAATCAATATGCCTGACTTTCATTCTTCTCCAGAGAAGTGGAGAGCTTGGTCAAGGAGGTGAGGTGGCAGTGGGGGCAGGGAGTGAAAAATAAAATAAAATAAAATAAAATAAAAATTTCTTGAAAAATAAAATAAAATAAAATTTTCTTGAAAAATAAAATTTCTTCAGTTTTGAAGTTGCTGGATATTTGAAGTACTCAGTCAGGGCCCTAGAGTTGTGCGCCATAAAACACAGAAGGGACTCAGCCTGGAACCTCTCAAAGGGCAGGCAGCGTTAGTAAAGGAGATCTGGAAGTCCCTTGAAACTCCCGCAGCCTCTTGTTTGGGCCCACCACAGTGAGGAACTTGCAGAGCAGGCTCACCTCCACAAGGTGTTATTTAGTCCTGTCCATTTGAGTGGTTTTTTAAAAAAACTTAACATGTAATTAATATAAAAAATCGATATATTTTTATTTTATTTATACCAGCTTCAGAGTAAGGTGTGGTATTTCACACTTACTGCCCATCTCAGTTCACCTCCTCAGTCACACTAGCCACATTTCAAGTGCTCAACAACCACTTGAGGCCAGTGACTTCCTTACTGGACAGTGTCGCTCTAGGGCCTACACTTTGGATAGCATGCAAGTTGCTCTCCCAGGAAGCCCTCCCTGGCCCTCTCGTGCCGTGCCTGTCCATTTGAATTTAAAACAATGTCTCCAGAAAGCAATTTTGGCATTAGCATAGTTGACATTGCTGACAGATTTACTTGTTTCCTAAGGCTGATCTTGGTGATTAATAGATGTCTGTTCAGCTGTGTCTTGGGGTCCACAGAATTGCTGTTCAGTTCATCATGTTGCTCAGCATCACTATTTCAGGATCCCGCCGTAAAATTCTTTGTAGCCATTGCATCCTGGTGGACCCATCAAGTTGTACTTCCACCCAAAATTAAATATCTGTCAGCTGGGTATCTGTAAAAGTGTATGAGTAGATCTTTCAAAACCTTTTGAAGAAACACGTTGGACCCACTTACCTCTAGTGTGAGGTGAGTTACTTTGTGAGGGACGATAAAACCTCAGTCTTCTAAATTTTCACAGTGGCATGCCTGCAGAAGGTTCGTAAGTGAGCAGATGCAAGAGGCAGCCTAATCCTGAGTGGTATTCATTCATTCATTCATTCTTCCTGTTATAGAACATTTCAAACATATACAGAAGTAGAGAGAATAGTAAATGATTTCCCTGCCATGCACCCATCACCCAGTTCAGCAGTTATTAATTCACGGCTAATCTTGTTTCATTTATTATTCCCCCCCCCCCACAATTGGATTATTTTGAAGCAAACCTTGATATTATGTCATATCACCCATATACATTTCGTTAACCACAATACCATTTTCTTGCCTGAAACAAATTAACAGTAATCTCTTAATATCAAATAATTAGCCAGTATTCACATTTGTCTTATAAATGTGGGATTTTTAAACAATTTGCTTGAATTGGTATGCAAATAAGGCCCATACAGTGCAATTGGTTGATTTTTTTTAATGTATTTATTTGGCTGCATTGGGTCTTCGTTGCTGCATGCGGGCTTTCTCTAGTTGCGGTGAGCGGGGGCTACTCATTGCGGGCTTCTCATTGCGGTGAGCGGGGGCTGCTCGTGCGGGCTTCTCATTACAGTGGCTTCTCTTGTTGCGGAGCATGGGCTCTAGGCACGCGGGCTTCAGTAGTTGTGGCACGTGGGCTCACTAGTGGCTCGCGGGCTTTAGAGCGCAGGCTCGGTAGTTGTGGTGCACAGGCTTAGTTGCTCTGTGGCATGTGGGATCTTCCTGGACCAGGGCTTGAACCCGTGTCCCCTGCATTGGCAGGCGGATTCTTAGCCACTGCGCCACCAGGGAAGTCCCTCTCAGAATTTATTTATTTATTTATTTATCTATCTACCTATCTATCTATTTGGCTGCATTGGGTCTTAGTTGCAGCATGTGGGATCTTCATTGCAGCATGTGAGATCTTTGTTGCAGCGCATGGGCTCTTCATTGTGGCACATGGTCTTCTCTCTAGTTGTGGTGCGTGGGCTTCAGAGTGCAAGGGCTCAGTAGTTGTGGTGCACACGGGCTCTCTAGTTGTGGCACGCAGGCTCTAAAGTGCACGGGCTTAGTTGCCCCACAGCATGTGGGATCTTAGTTCTCTTACCAGGGGTTGAACCCACTTCCCCTGCGTTGGAAGGCAGATTCTTAACCACTGGACCACGAGGGGAGGCCCCAAGAGCCAGCTTTTTGTTTCAGTGGTTTTTCTCTATTGTTTTACTGTCTTTAACTTCATTGGTTTTTGCTCTTATGTTTATATTTTCTTCTGTTTACTTTGGGTTTATTTTGCCCATTTTTCAGTGCCTGAAGGTTTACCTCCAAACATCCCGAACAAATGATTTTTCCTCTTTGTTCTGGCTACCAGGAATCTCAACTTCCCTGTTCTAATTGGTTTCTGGTTTGATTTTTACTATTTGCTTTTATTTCTCTTGCTTTACAATATAAGCTAACCCCATTTTTTAAAAAGTAGGATGATCCTGGGGTTGGAGACTCGGTGCTTTCACTGCCGAGGGCATGGGTTCAATCCCTAGTCGAGGAACTAAGTAACAATTATTACTTGGATTGGAAAGGAATAAATTTTAAATAATAATTAGCTCTTATATCAGCTTCTGGCAATGGAATTACTTCCTGTTGAAGAAGTTTTTCTCTTCATCAGTACAGGTTACCAGCTGTTCTGGTCTACTTTCCTACACACGCTACACATGCATGCATGCCGGTACACCCACACACACACCCCACCTCACCTAGAGGATTAATTGGGGAAATGGTGTTGCTTTGAGGAGTCACTGAGGTTATTATTTTTTAATAAGTTATTCTTCGTAAGGATCCAAGTATGAATATTAAAACTTTCATTTTATGGTAAAATATAGTGTTACTCCATAATTAGAGTAACTTCCTGTGGAATTTTTTAAAATAAGAATTACTAATTGGACCAGAGTACAGTTAGCATAGAATGAAGGCAGGGACCACATCTGTTCTCCATCGTATCCCTGGCACCAAGCAAAGTGATTGGCGATGAACATTTAATATTTGTTCAGTGAACTGCCAATGTGGTAGATGTAGTACTATCTTCTGTAGAAGGCATCATTATAGAATGGTAGTGATTCATTCCTTATATGAGATTTCTACTTCTTTTGTTATATATGGATTGTGACAGTCATAGATGCTATATCAGATTTGCATTCAGTATATGAAATGAGATACAGCCTGCCTACTGAAATCATATAGTCCAGTTACTTCTAAGTGCCTTAGCCAATCTTTTTCATGTCATGTCACCTATAAAAGCAGGTAATATCTGTTTAGTACACTGGAGTAAACTGAGGCAGTAAATAGAGGGACTCCTCTGGGGAATCTCCTGAAATCTGAGGGGATCAAGACCACATGCAGCTGTAACCCCTTCATAGCATACTAGTGGGGAAGCTGTGTTTTTTAGACCTTACTGTCTGTAGATGTACAGTATAGTGCTATAAAATCTATTGTTTTTGTTGTCCTTGCTTTTCCTGTAGTGTGGAAATTGGCGAAAGTGTGCGTGGAGAGGATGTCTACATTGTTCAGAGTGGCTGCGGTGAAATCAATGACAATCTAATGGAACTTTTGATCATGATTAATGCCTGCAAGATTGCTTCAGCCAGTCGGGTTACTGCAGTCATCCCATGCTTCCCTTATGCCCGGCAGGATAAGAAGGATAAGGTAGGAGCGGAATCTTTTTTTTTTTTTTAATTCTTTTTTTAAAATCAGGGGAAGCAGGAGCACTTGCCCAAAGTCAAAAAACTTCCTTAATTATCAAATGTATATTTAGAGGATATTATTTTTTTATCTTAAGCATTACCTGATTTTCACAACAATTGATGTGATTGGTTTGTATAAAGTAACACATTTGCAGTCTGTCTGTTTTATTCCAGTCATATGTATGTGACTTTTGGCTAACTCACTGCTATTTTTTCATTGTATCAGCAAGACTAAGCACCAGCTCCCATAGAGTAGAATATTTTTTTAAACTATGGTAGCTCCTCTGGGACCCTCTTGGTTCTAGTGGTGACCTCTTCATATAACTTGAAGTCAGTTACATGAATACTTACTTGGTCTCATTACACACACGCGTGCGCACACACACGCACACACACATCTCACCTTATTTGGAGTATTAGAGGATAAAGCATATATGTAAAACTTTGCAGGTCTGTTGTAATTGATGCCCAAATTTTACATACAATGCCTGGGAGAAGGCCAGATATTTTTATTTCAGTAAAATACAGTGCTCCTACAGAGTAGAGTAAAGGGCATGGGCCTTGCTATTTTATGGTGCAGCCAGGTGTGTTTACCTGTTATTAAAGGGGGTTGAGGTTACTGGAACATTGTCCTCCGGATGAGTAAGGGAGTGGTGTAGTTTATAAAATAAAACTATAATTTCCATCCTGTGATGTGTCTTTAATTTTATTTATTTATTTATTTATGGCTGTGTTGGGTCTTCGTTTCTGTGCGAGGGCTTTCTCTAGTTGCAGCGAGAGGGGGCCGCTCTTCATCGCGGTGTGCGGGCATCTCTCTATCGCGGCCTCTCTTGTTGCGGAGCACAGGCTCCAGACGCGCAGGCTCAGTAGTTGTGGCTCACGGGGCTAGTTGCTCCGCGGCATGTGGTATCTTCCCAGACGAGGGCTCGAACCCGTGTCCCCTGCATTAGCAGGCAGATTCTCAACCACTGCGCCACCAGGGAAGCCCCTAATGTGTCTTTAAATGTTGACACGTTAGATGTTACACAGGTTTGAGTATGTATGTGTCAAAAGAGATTTTAATAAAATTCTTTCAGAGAAGATTTTTAAAGTCTGCCTAATTTAAATAATGGAGCATTGGAAACACTTGAATAGGCAGAAAATGTGTAAGTGAAGAAAAAGAAAGGTAGGGAAGGTATTTTCTTTTCTGAAATATGTATCTTGATTTGGAAAAATGATAATCCACTTCATATTTGTGCCAGATTGTGATCTACTCAAAGTCAGTGGCTATGTCACTTTTTATGAATTTCCTGGTAGCACAGTACCTTAAACACAGTAGGTGCACAGTAAATAAGTGCTTCTTGAGCAAATGAATTGTTTCTCAAATTGGTTTTTTTTTTTTTTTTCTTTCCTCCCCTCCATTTAGAGCCGGGCTCCAATCTCAGCCAAGCTTGTCGCAAATATGCTCTCTGTAGCAGGCGCGGATCATATTATCACCATGGACCTGCATGCTTCTCAAATTCAGGTATCAGTGGAAGCTAAGTGTTAGCTTAGGGATTATTAGGGATTTGAAAGGGGGTAGGAGAGGACTGAATGCTGAAAACCGTAGGGAAGCAAAAACTGCCCAAGTATAGCTCAAATAAACTAGACATTGATGACATTTTCAATATCCTCACCTTAAGCATAGATCATGATCTTAGCCACGTGGGGTGGTTGGACAGGGAGGCCGTCTGGGATTCTGGGAAGCATGTAGGCTTTGGCATCAGACTTAGTTTGAATACTGGCTCTGACACTAACTAGCTTTGTAACCTTGGGCAGGTTATTTAACTTCTCTGAACACACACTGCTTTGTTATTGTGAGTATCAAGTAAGATATTAAATTCGTAGTATAACACCTGGCTCATGAATGATATGAAATAAATGGGAGCTGTTATTGTCATCATTAAATTTAGAGCCATAGATATTGGAACCTACCTTCTATCCTAAACAGAGTTAGGGGAGCAGAATACCACCTTATAGTTTATACTTTTTTTTTTTTTTTTTTTTCCTTGCGTTATGCGGGCCTCTCACTGTTGTGGCCTCTCCCATTTGCGGAGCACAGGCTCCGGACGCGCAGGCTCAGCGGCCATGGCTCACGGGCCCAGCCGCTCCGCGGCATGTGGGATCTTCCCGAAACGGGGCACGAACCCGCGTCTCCTGCATCGGCAGGCGGACTCTCAAGCACTGCGCCACCAGGGAAGCCCTAGTTTATACTTTTTAAAGAGACTTTGAAATCATTATCATTGGAGGCTTCTGGGAATTCAGTGAGATACAGGACAGGTGATTATACCATTTTATAGAAGAGGAACAGATTAGTTGTGAAATACAACTAATATGTAGCAGCTAGTGTTAGAACACAGATCTCCTGACTTCTAGTTACTGTGACCATTTATTGTAAATGGCTTCCATTAAGTTTATATACCATAGCATCTCTAACCTGTTTACCAGTTAGTTTTTGCTCCTTAACAAACAGGCCCAACATTTACTGGCATAAGGTAGTAAGCATTTATTACCTCGTGGGTCTGCACGTTGGCTGGGTAGTTCTGGTCTTGGCTGGACTTGGCCGTTTTTCCCAAGAGCTTGCTCATGTGCCTGTGGTCAGCTGTGGTGTAGCCGAGGCCTGGCTTTGCCCGTCGTGGCTGGGCTCTCTTACATAGCCCAGATTCGAGGAGGCTGTTTTTACAGTCTGCCACACTGGGCATGCCTTCTGATCAGTTTGAATGTTGCAGTAAAGTATTCTGTTGGCAAGTTACTATTCTCTTTGTGTTCACTATTTGTAAATGGAAGAGAAGGAAAACAAGCAAAACTGACCCAGCTTCTTTCTTTCTATAGGGCTTTTTTGATATCCCAGTGGACAATTTGTATGCAGAGCCAGCTGTCCTCAAGTGGATAAGGGAGAACATCTCGGAATGGAGGAACTGCACGATTGTTTCACCCGATGCTGGAGGAGCTAAGAGGTATGGTTGAAAGTCATGTTATTCCCAACGTACTGGGGAAAAGCTTTCAGACAGTTGTGTCAGAAAACGATGTTTCTCTATTGAAGTGAATTTTTCTCTTCTTGAAGTATAGTTGATTTACTATGTTGTGTTAGCATCAAGGGTACAGCAAAGTGATCTGGAAAAGACTATATATATATATACACACACATACATATATATATATATGTGTATGTGTATATATATATATGCACATATACATATATATACACACACACACATATATATACACACATATACATATATATATATATATATATATATATATATATAGTCTTTTTCAGATTCTTTTCCATTATAGGTTACTACAAGATATTGAGAAGTGACAGTTTTTAAGTACTTGGATGTGCCGGTAGCTAGGACATGGGCTGGATATGGTTTTACTCACTCCTCTTCTACTGGCCTGAGTCACTACCTGAAAGACAGCAGAGGTGCACAAAATAGTCTGGCATTGTGGGCTTGACCATAACCCAACAGTGACTCAGCGCTGCAGGGCTAGCAACAGCGCTGTGACCCATCAGGAGGGGGAGGAATTTGGTTTTCTAATGAATGGCACCTGCCATCGAAGCCCATGATAATAGTGAACAAGTAAGCTTTTACATACCTCCAAACGGTTGGTTAAACCGTTTCGATCGTTTAGATTAAAATATTAAGCAGGAAGGAAAAGAAAGTGTGGTGATTTTATTTAAGCCAAGCTCTGAACATTCTAAACAAACTGATTGCCAGGGATTGCCAGTGCTTCAGCTCACATGGTGCAGACTAAGAGCTTTTCATTTCTTTAGCGGCTCACTTGTTAGTAATGCATTCAAAAACGTGACACATGTTCTTGTTGTGGAAATAGAATGAAGAGCTACAAAACACAGATGATTAGGAAACACGAATTCAGATCTTTGCAAAAGCCATTCAAATCTTCAATGACTGTTTCTCAACAACCTCTTTATTTCAGAAACTTCAACAGAACTGATAAGCTGAGAGCTTGAGTTCTGTTCTCCAGCCAGATGTATGGCTTTGTGAGTCCCTTGTTGCTAGTTACCATCTGTAGTACTAGAGACGGAGCCTAAAACACATCCCCCTCATGGTGGTTGTCATACTTGTGAAAATCATCTTCCACAGAGACTTAGAAAACAGTCACATTTGAAATAAGTAATCAAGCACGATTTTCCTTCCAAAGTTGGGTACAAAAAAACTGCCTTCAGGCTTCCCTGGTGGCGCAGTGGTTGGGGGGTCCACCTGCTGATGCGTGGGACACAGGTTCGTGCCCTGGTCCGGGAAGATCCCACATGTCGCGGAGCGGCTGGGCCCGTGAGCCGTGGCCGCTGAGCCTGCGCGTCCGGAGCCTGTGCTCCGCAGCGGGAGAGGCCACAGCAGTGAGAGGCCTACGTACGGCAAAAAAAAAAAAAAAAAAAAAAAAACTGCCTTCAGTAGATGGTTTATCGCTAAATGATTTTGTTTGTTTGTTTATAATTTTCTTTTAGTGATGAAAGATTTTCAAAGTGAATGGCTGTCACGTCTGTCTTGGCAGGGTTTTTGGACTAGGTAGAGATTCCTGTGTGATTGTGACTTGCACGTAGTTCTACCATCAAGGATATAGGGAGTGACTTTTTGAGCCCTTTACACTTTGTCAGTCACTGAGTTTGTTGGCCATTGAGTGTGGACGGTTTGGGATGCTTGAACTAAGTGATCATGCATTTGCCTCGGCTAAATAATCATTCCAAGCAGATTGGTAACTTTTTTTTTTTGGCTGCACCGTGCGGCATGTGGGATCCTAGTTCCCCAACCAGGGATCGAACCTGTGCTCCCCACTTTGGGAGCACAGAGTCTTACCCACTGGACCACCAGGGAAGTCCCAGGTTGGTAACTCATGTTGTTATGTGCCCATGCAGTAGGAAAGGAGAGCACAGGGTATGGGTTGTTTAGATCAGGTGTAAATGTTGCCTAGGTTGTGGTCCAAGTCTTGTTTGTTCTTTATTATATGGTCACAGGTTCTCCCTTATTCAGCACAAACTCGAGATATGTGACCATAGCCACAAGGGAAATAGGAAATAATGCTCTGGTTGGATCAGTATTACATTAAAAAACAAAACACAAAGCATAGGCCTCTTCACCCATAAGAAGGATGGCATGGTGGAGCATGGCCGTATGTGTCACTGGGGCACCACAGTCATATACACTGAATGGATTGCTCTTTGAGTGATTACATGGTACTTTGTCGCCAGAAAGATTTGTTTTCTATCCCACCTTCTAGTCTGGTTTGTATTGCCTTGTAATTTTTTTTTTTTTTTTTTTTTTTT